CACACTTTCTCTCTCTCTCCCTCCCATCACACCCCCTCTTCCACACATACACAAACACACGTAAATCTATTGGTGAATTTGTATTTGCAGATCCATTCTATTTTGTTCAAAAAGCACACAACTTATAGATAGTCAGTCAATGTGGCATTTTATAAATTCCTACTTTAGAAATAAAACCAGTCTGACTCCAAACCAAAACACAAAAAGATTCTAAACAATGCCTCACACCTAATACCTAACCTAAAATGTCACCTCTTCTTTATACTGATAAAACCTTTAGCTCTCTCAGGACAGTGACTTGAAAGAAATTTGGGGATTCACATATCTGTATTAATCAATTAAAACCTTCTAACTGATTAAAGATCTTAGATTTGTTTAATATATCCTCATCAGTTGTGTGACCCTTTGATCTTTTACTTATAAATTCTTTGTCAGATGCCACCTCTCTCACCAACACCTGAAGAAAGAGTGAGGCTCCAAAAGCTTGTATTTTCAAATAAACTTATTGAACTATAATCTGGTGTCGTGTGATTTCTGACCTTGTTTACACCAGTGCAAAACCAGCACCTCCACATCATTTGTTCAAGGCAAAATATGGCTGACTACATCTTTTGCTTCCTCAGGGTAACATGGTAAAGACAATTAAATCTCCATCAATCAAAACTTTTAGCAAAATCTTCAATGTGATCACTTCACACCATTTCACATCTTTCAGGAACACCTGAAAGCATTTTACACATTGCAAAGTTCCTTGAGGTGTAATAACTTTGTGATGTTATGTAAGCAAATGTTTGTTGTATTTATATTTTGTCTGAGGTGTTTAGCACATCCAGCAATGAAGTGAATTATCAGTCACCAGGTTTTTAGGCAGAGCTGTTTGAGGGAAAGGTCTTTGTAAGCACACCAGAAGAACTTTATATTCCACTTTGATAATGTCTTGTGATTCAGAAATACAGAACATAGAAAACCTTGCTGCAATATTTATGATGTATCTAAAATATTACAACTAGAGGAACCTATCTATTAAAAATGCATTATTCCAGATGCATGAATTGTTAGATGACTTCTGAAAAAGGCAGGGAAGCTGTTTTTCAACCCAGCAAAGATAATGCAATTTCTCTGTCATGGGTTTTCTCTTTCCTGTATCTGGTGGCCAAGGGGCTGCCATGTATCCATCAGTAGATGGAAGAGGCTAAGTAGCCAATTATATTGAAGAATTCTCAGAAGCAAAGGGGAAGTAAAAAGTGCACTGATTGTTCATTTGCTTGCCAACACACTCAGTTTATTCTTTGCTTGCATTAAAACTGTACTGAAATCAGGAATTATTCCACTACATTCAAATCATTCTTGACTCAAAACTGGGATCTTATCTCCTTCAGGTTATTCTCCTTCATTTTTGTGAATGTTTAAATCCAAATATTAGCATTAATACTTGAAAGCGATGTCACAATTGGAATCTAAAGAAAACTGTCAACGAAATGGGAGAATCATACTTAGGTAATTGGAGAATTGACTCAACATGTTGTATTCCAACAGTGGGCCCATTGTTACTACATCTACCCTGTGCCATAGATGGAGTAAGTCTTTGCCAGCAAGGTTTGTTTCCGTAATAAATTGTGTTTGTGTGTGTCGGTGTACTTACAAGTATTGTCCTCCAGAATCTACCAGGTACATCTCATCTGGACTTAGCTTCCTGTTGGTTTCATTGTTGGGACTAAGTCAAAAAGTGAAAAAAAGGTGAAAAGCACTGGCAATTTAGATCCAGTAAAACAGCCTCAAGTTTGAATTCAGCCTGATAGTTTTGATTGCTGTCAATTTTTAAATTTTAATGGCATAGTTACTTGAAGGTTTTGCATTTCTAAGATCACAGAAATAATATTTTATCTTTTATGCATCCTCACAATCAAGATTTACTGAACCATCCCTTTACTCTACATCCTTCTTTACCTTGATCTCAAATTCCTTAATTCTTCTTTCTGTCAGTAACCAGCCTTTCATAACTTAAGTTTCTGATAATCAAATACCTACTTCCTGAAATAGGGATTAGTTTACATGAAATATTGGGGAATGCACCATTGAGGAGCACTGCGCACAACACTTTGCTGCATCAAGCCTATTTTTGTCTCTATGTTTTTACCGCACTTTAGGTTACTGCTTTGAAATATTTGCCCTGTTTTTTTTTAAACTGCAAATTCAACTGCAACAAAGGGCTGAATTTTCCCTTTTTTTGGCTAATTGTTATTATCAGGTAGTTTCAAGCAATGTTTCCCACCATGGCCCATGGAGATTTTTCACATGCAATCTTTTGCTGCTGTCCTCACTAATGGATCTAAGCTCTATGACATCCTTCACATTTAATCATGCAGCAGCAAAGGCAAAAGTGTTCACCACTGCCAGGGCCTTGTGCTGTTCACACCACAACCACAATATTTAAAACCCAGTTGCTTACCACTTCAAGAGCTGCAAGGCATGAACCTGCTGCACCAATGTTTTGGCCAACAAGATGTCTCATAAAGGGAAGTTGGTACCCCATGTCTGAAAAAGGCATTTGCTGATGAACAGTGAAGTCAAGTGGAGGGATATACTTTTTTCCAATGGACTGTCAAAGGCTACAGAACCAGATACAGCCAGTCTGAGCCCAGATAGCAGCCCAGATCAGTGTTGCTTAATGCACAAGGAGAAATGCCTAGCAGTGCTCGAAGATGATTAATCTTGTCTATTCTGTCTCTTTCTCACACTCTAACACTGCCAGTACACAGTATCATCAAGGCTAATTGGTGTAAACTCTACCATTGCATGCATCCATGTCCACGCAATGGCACTCACCCACCTCATCATCATTAAACAAATCTAATCAGCTGTTCTCAAGGTAAAAATTAGAACTCAGCTATTGACCTATGGAAAAGTTATATAATGACAAGTCGATGAGGAGATTTAAGGTCATACTAAGAACGTTTATCTTTATTGCTCAGAAGGGATGGGCACTTATATTGCTGTGGCCTAATAACAATGTGTCACTGTTTCTTTCACAGCAAAATCCAAACCATAAATTCTGATCTTTGTTTTAGTAGGGCAAAAATATAATACTTTGGTATTATCACACACACCTATACAGTAGACTTATGTTACATTTGGTGACAGATTTAACAGAATCAACTATTTGATCTTTACCTCATGGGATCCACATTTCTCTACACTGACCTGTAGTGAGCAAGGGCCGCATTCAAACCACTGGCAGAAATCGTCTCAAAGCTGATGCCCTTGGAATACTTTTGCTCGCTGTAAAAATATATGACAAATGATTCCTCAACTGGTCCATTATTTTGGTGATTGGTAGCTCATACAATTTAATAACTCATGCATCAATGGCTTGGAAATTGTTGGTAACAATAGTGGCTGGATGTTTCATCTGTTGATGAACTTTCTATGCCTACTATTTTATCTGGTTGCTCCTTGATTCAAAATTAACTAATTAATGTCGGCACTCAGGTTGCAGACAGAGGAGCATTTGTCCATTAATGTTGCCAACGTTAATTTCTGGGCTTACATTGGTAATGAAAGTAACAATGATTGTAACATTGCAAACAATTAAAAAAAATCTACCTTTGTGCATAACAGACTCAGTCTGAGAATAGAAATGTCATAGCAAAGTAACAATCTGAGGGTTATATAAGTGCTGGCCCAGCCAATGATATTCACATTCCCTAAATGATAGAAGAATCACACCAGTCTTTAGATGTATTTTCATAGCCACACATGATCCATTGCAAACTCTAAAAGGAATGATATTACATCAGCTTTACTTATTATAATAACGCAATAAAACCATTGGTGTATGGACATTTATTTGAATTGTTCTCTGCACACCACACCTCAACACAATGCACAGCAAAGTCATCTTCTAATTTAAGGTGGTCTTGGATTATGCATCCTTTTCATGATGGCTGTCAAGATGAGACAAACAGCTCTTTGTAATTCAAAGTTCTATATTAGAGGTGCCTTGTTGAAACTATGCATACAATTCAAGATCAGACATTAATCAGTGGTAAAATAGACAATAGCCACTAGGATAAAACTCTGTGGCTGAAGAACAACATACTTCATTGTTGAAGCCCTTCAAGTATTAAGCTACTGGTACTGAGTAGGCCTGATGTCTAATGCAGTGGACTTAAACCTCAATACAGTTGACATAATGCATGATTCTTTCTGTAGGTATTTCTACACTAAAGGTTAATGTGCATTGTATAGCTGCCACTAAGTAATTTTAAAACCTACAAGGAAGACAGCAAGACATGGTAATTTTAAAGTGAGGTCCTTTTACAAGATTTAGGATTAGATGGCAATGTGGCTACGCACAATTCCCTTTTGAAAAAAATGGGATTTTTGTTTAACTCGATGTTGGAATTTTGCCACAAATGATAAAGTTTGAATGGCATGAACTGAAGCATTTGAAAATGATCAAAAATTCAGTGACAATTTGAATAAAAGAAAAAACATTGAAATTAATGCACAAAATCACTTATGGATATACGACTACTTAATTTGTGCATATCAAATTTCTTAAAATAAAGTATAATTTTAATTTCTAAAGAGTAATATGTTTATTTTAGAATATCTTAAATTAATTTCATTTGAATGTTTTCAGCATTTACAACCATACATTTCAATTTCTCCTGTGGTTATAAAACTGCATTCCATGACATAGTGATGAAACATTTAATATGTCTGGAGAGTGTAGATGAGTAATTGCTTCAATATATTTCAGTTTTGAAAATATTGTCCATGTGCTATAGAATGTTGGTAAATTGTGCTTTAGCAGAATTTTTGAATTAAGCATCGGCCAGTCTATACATGACATGTCTTCATTCAAATTTTCTGCACATTTTGTACCTGCGTAACTTGTTGACATAGTCTGCACCTGAGACTTCCGTCACAGTTCCTTTTGGAACATTTTTTTCCAGCCATACAAAATAGCGTATGACAGCAACTGCATCACGCACCTGAGAAAACAGCAGTTTTAAAAGTAAATACTGCATTATTATACCCAGATCCCAACAACCCCATAACTGTTCCCTGCATGAACATTCCCATGAACATCTCTATCTCATCTCCCTTACCAGCAAGGTAATCACTATTGCAAGTCTGAGTCCAAGATGGGAACAGTTAGTATTTCATGTAGTCTTTTCTTAATGCTTTAAATGCTTCCTTCCTGCCATGTAATTTACTGCTGGCTATTTTAGTTGTATTTTTAAGACGTTATAAAGCAGTTTTAAAGAGCTTACTAAAATATTGCATTGTCAATGGACATTTTTGCACAAGTACATTCATTAGTTTTTTTCAAAAACAGTGAGGTTGATTTATCCTGCTCTTTTCGGATGAAAATCACTGAGGTGCAGGAAGTTTAGCAAGCAAGTTTGCTACCAATTTAAAAACCGAAAGAACTGCAGACGCTGTAAATCAGAAACAAAAATAGAAGTTGCTGGAAAAGTTCAGCAGGTCTGGCAGCATCTGTGAAGAAAAATTAGAGTTAACATTTCGGGTCCAGTGATCCTTCCTCGGAACTGGAGGAGCTCTGAGGAAGGTTTACTGAACCCGAAATGCTAAATCTGATTTTTCTTCAGTGGTGCTGCCAGACCTGCTGAGCTTTTCCAGCAATTTCTGTTTTTGTTGCTACCAATTTTCCTGTTGTTTATATGGCCTATGATTTTGGTTGGATATGTTTCCTGTAGGAGTGCTTACGTCTCCATCTATTATTTCATTATACTTACGTGTGCTGCTTTCAGTCCTTTCTGTTCTGTGCTGTCTTTAACAGACTTGGTGAGTTGCACTGGGGAGTATCTATCAATAAGCAATTTTGACTGCAAGAATGGAAAAATAAATCAATAATTAATGTTCAAGGCTTACTTTTTACAAGCACATTCACATAGTTCTTGCACAAGAAATTAATTTCCTCAATATTGTCTGAACTCAAATATCACTGTGATATTTATGTCATTATTTCTGAACCTTGTAAATTGTAACAAATATTATACTGCAATTTGAAATCCCAATACTTTTCTTTCTTGTGTACAATATTTTAATCTCTGATTTGGCAAAGAATTGGAACAAAAGAAACCATTTTTTCTCTGATACTTGATAGCCCAGCTCTGAGCACTGCACAATAAATAATACTTCTCTTGCAGATGTCAGGTTGCACTGATTGCAAAGTTGTTTGTTTCAGTCTCCTGGGAGACTCTGGTATTTGTTCTTGATACATGTGTACCAGGAACCCAAGTCCTGAGAAGTACAGGGTGTACAATGCTAGCAGTGAATGTAATTAAATATTATACCTTCTCAACAGGACAGTTAGATGTTAGCAGTTTAGTAAAAATGGGGTAACAAGAGGATAAGATGAGTCTCATGGATAAACTGAGCTTGCAGAGGGCATCAATGATGCTCACAGAGAAACTAGAAAAAGAGGTGGGCTTAGACTATGCCAGTAAACGAGCAGAAATTAAGGTTCAGTGAACAATCCATTACCCATTTTATCGTATGTTTGATTAATAGTAGGGAGATTGAACATTCTTGACTAAACTGTTACATACATTTTTGTAGAAAACTGAATACAAATTATTCCCATATGAGATGATAATTCAAGACATTTAACATTGAGGAGAAAAAAATATTATGGATACTGACCAAAAGAAATATTAAAGCGTGCAGAACAATTTCCTTGGAGCTTGTACAGCTGTAACTTTGATGGAAACTCTATTTCCACAGATGGTGATTAAAAACACAGGTTTTGAAGAAGTGTTTGAAAGTAAAGTCAGGTATTTGACAGAGCATGGCATGAAAACTGAAAAATCAATAGTGCACTAAGTGATGAATAAGAAGAGAGAGTAGGTGAGGGAACTTGCATGTGTAGCTGGAAGAAATCAGAAAGGTATGGCACTCAAGGAACAATTAGAATTCAAAAGTAAAAACAATAATTTTGAAGTCATTTTACTTGGGCACTTGAAGTCAGTGAACTTGGAAAAGGAATGGGTGATGGAAATGCAGGATGGCTTCAGAGATCTTGCTGCAACATTCTGACCCAGGTTTATGTTGCGAAGGGTAAAAATTGGAAAGCAGCTCAGGAGAGAATTAAACTTGAGATGATACAAGAAACAAGAAACGCTGTTTCAGATGAACCCTCTATAGTTCACATCTCATTCCACTTTGCAAATTGATATAGTTGTAGAAGGTTGCACTTTCCATGAACTACATTCTTCTGTTTCGAAGTGCAAAGTCCCATCTAACTAGCGTCATTAACTATTAGGAGCAAATTACTGCAGATTGCATGGTAGAACCTGTACTGAAAACAAAAATGCTGGAGATTTCATCAGGTACGACTTAATTTTGAGTTATGTTAACACATGACTATTTTTTCTCTCTCTATCATCTATAAAAAGACCAACCATAATTGCCTGTTTTAGCTTTTCTACTCACATTAATGTTAATTATGGGATGCTTCAAATATACAGGAATTTGGGAAAGTTCATTCACTGCACAACTCATTCAACAGGTGAAGAAAGTAAATGAGATCTGAGAGGGGCTTTACTCTCCTTGACTGGCTGATTGAAGGGAAGGCTGAATGTTAAATCCAATAGGTGGTCTTCCCACTGTCTACTTGGTGAAAATTTATCAGGGAGCAGGGAAAGCTGTGGGTGGCCTGTTCAGCCTGCCATCTATTTATGCCCTTAAATGACCAAATAATGGTCATTTAGTAGCCTCTTTACATCCCACCAGTGTTTTATGGCATTGGACCTCTTGTGTGGGCTCGCTGCACTGACCCAAAATATTCATCATCACAATTTCACTCTCTTCCTGAAACTCTGAACCAAACCCATCATCTCACAGCTCCCCTTCTCCCCCAGGGATCGCTGACTCGAGACTTAACTGAGTTCCTTGATGTGGTGGGACTGTGATGAGATGTGATGTGTTATAGTGTGATAGAATCATAGAATCCCTACAGAGTGGAAGCAGGCCATTCAACCCATCAAGTCCACACCAAACCTCCGAACAACATCCTACCCAACCTCCCAACCCTACCCTTAGGGTGGCATGGTGGCTCAGTGGTTAGCACTGCTGCCTCACAGCGCCAGGGACCTGGGTTCGATTCTACCCTCAGGCGACTGTCTGTGTGGATTTTGCACATTCTCCCCATGTCTGTGTAGGTTTCTGTTGGATGCTCCAGTTTCCTCCCACAGTCCAAAGATGGATTGCCCAAAGCATCCAGGGTTGTGCAAGTTAGGTGCGTTATCCATGGGAAATGCAAGGCTACAGGGATAGGTCACTCTTCGAAGGGTTTGTGTGGACTTGTTGGGTTAAATAGCCTGTTTCCACACTATAGGGATTCTATTTTAAGGATCCTTGTAATCCTGCATTTCTCATGTCTAATCCACCTAAGACATTGTGAGCAGTGCTAACCACTGAGCCACCACGCTGCCCTATCTGATGTGGTGGGCTTGTGTTGTGGTGTGATGTGTTGTAATGATAGATGCACCATAGAGTGCCCTTGAAATGGCAACTGCTATGCCTAAGACCATACGAAATTGTAGAGTTGTAAATGCAGCCCAGTCCATCACAAAAACTAGTCTTCCTTCCATTGACTCCTTCTACACTTCCCACTGCGTTGGGAAAGCAGCCAACATAATCAAAGACCCCTTCCACCCCAGTTAAACTCTCTTCTATTTTGCAGAAGGTACAAAAGTTTGATGACACGTACCAATAGATTTAAGAACAGCTTCTTCCTTGCTGTTATCAGACTTATGAACCGACCTCTCATATATTAGAATTGACCTCTCTCTGCCTCTTCTCTGTAGCTGTAACACTACATTCTGCATTCTGTTTTATCACCCTGATGTACTTACATACGGTATGATTTGTCTGGCTAGCACGCAAAACAATACTTTTCACTGTATCTTGGTATGTGACGATAATAAATCAAATCAATTCAAATGTGATCTGGTGGGCCTGGGCTGCCTTTTCCCAGTTGGCACTGCTAGGACTAGTGTGTTGCTAATCAAAATGGTTGGCTAGCAGGGTCTATGATACGACTGCTTCCCATGATAGGCATGATGTGGAGGTACCAGTGTTGGATTGGGGTGGACAAGGTCAGAAGTCACACGACATCACGTTATAGTCCAACAGGTTTACTTGTAAACACAAGCTTTCGGAGCCTCAAGTCCTTGCTGTCTGGCAAAATCTGAAGGTAACTGTCACTTTATTCCAAGTCAAAAGGATAATGACAATTGTTTGTCATGTATTTCAAGTGTTTTCTGTGTAATTCAGTTACCTTACTATATGCTTGCAGCCCCTTTACTGTGCAAAGCTGTTATTGAAAAGTGCACATACGCACTCTCATACAGCTTTCCTGCACAGTTCCTGTCAGTTGTCGAGCAGAGGCAAATGGACACTCTGCTTTGCCAGCTGGCTCTGGGATTTGGTTGGACGGGGGATACATGCGGCTGCTGGTCATGGAGTGTGCCTGAGATGTTGGTGATTGATGGAGGGCCAGAGGAGCAAGTGGTGAGCTGGAGTTGTCAGTTTACATCTCTGACTTTCATGTCAGCATCCAGTTTCAATCTGGTGTGTGGGAGAATGGGAAACAACGAGATCACGTAATTACTGCATATTAATGAATACAATTAGGCTTCTGACTGCTCACTCACTGTTCTGGTTTGAAACTGGGACTTTGTGGTCTTGATGTTGAGAAGCTTCTTGCTCGCCATCTCACATGATTCTCTCAACTTTCTCATTCACTGCCAACCTTATCCAGGGGCTGGAAAGATACTGCCCATGAAAACATATATTGTGAAGGGGCTCGACTGAGTAGATGATGGATGTTTTACCTCATGGGAGAATGTAGAACTTCTTTCTCTTCTTCAGTTTATTACCTGTAGGCTAGGTAGACTCTCAGAGCCATAACCTCTACCACAAGTAATGCAAGGAGGGTGGTCCCAAATTCTGCCCAGCCGGAATGGGTATCGAACTATCTGAGCTAACCACACTCCCCCACTGCCAAAGGAATTTGGGTTGCTGTGACTACACACCCTTTTATGTATATATTTTAGTCTAGAAGTAAGAATAGTGATGGATAGGCTCCAATTTTCTTTTTGTTATTTGGCTGACCCTTCAGCTCTTATCACCTGCCATTAGAAAGCTTTGCAGGTTGGTACTCAACTTGTTTAGCCATTAAATCCTGGAAAGGAGTCCCTATATTTTGTTGGATCTCTTGCTCACTTGCTACAAAACTGATTTTCAGAGCAACCCCATCATACCTTACTGCAATCAGATAGGTTGAAGGGCAGCAGCAGGCATTTCCCTGAAATAATGCCCACAGAGGCAGAAGTCCTGCACAGTGAGAACTGCTTACAATCAAAGGCCAGAAGCTCTTGTACTTGACAGCACCCCTGAAAAGGTCATGGCTGCTGCCAGAAGGAAAACCAGCATTGAGAGGGTCAAGGGGTCATTTTTTTGGGGAGATGTGGCTCACAGGGAGAGTAGGGAGTGGTGGCAAGATGTTTGGTAACAAGGCAAGGGGTGACTTTCAAAGCTGTACCCTGCGTTCAGTCCCTCATTCACACATGAATTAGTGCTGATCAAGGAACCCCCAATCCTCTCTTGCAGTCCAGGTGGGAAAAGGCCTTCATTGGTCCTTAATCAGTAATTTTTAAACCACTTAAAGGACCATAATTAATGACGGGGTAGGAAGGTGGAGCTTGGGTCTTCACACTCAGAATATACTTCGGGTGGAGATGGGAAGGCAGCAAAATTCTGGGACATCACCACTGTGACTAGTTAAATTAGTCCTATCTCCAGATCTGCCCCTTCTGCAATCAGATGATTTCTTCCCTGGAGTGTGAGTTGAATCTGGAACTTATTGCTATGAGGTGGGGACCTCAATCTAGGATGCAGAGTATTAAAATGCAGGTCTCACTTAAGAGACAGAGGAAAAATTTCTCCTTTGACGATTATTATTCTTTGGGATTCACTACCCAAGAGAACTGTGAAAATGTGATCATTGAATGAAGGTTGAGTTAAGTAGACTTTTGATTAATGAGGGAGTCAAATATTATGTTGTGCAGGCAAGGACTTGGAGTTAAGGCCGTATCAGATGTTATTGAATAGCAGAACAAGCTCTCGGGGTCAAATGGCCAACTCCTGTTTCTACTTCTTATGGAACCCTTTCTGCAAGATGGTGTCAAAATTGAAAAAGGTTGAAGAAGCATATCTCAGAATAGTGATTGCAGACCATTTGTCCTTTAATTTATTTTAACAAAATAAATCAAAAAATGTTCTGCACTCCATCATTGCACGTATTACTTCTCACTAAAATTAACACATGGGAAATATTGGCCAAGGCAGGTTGAGTAGCACCATTTTAATAGTGACCAATTAAAAATGCAATAACAATTTTGGTTTAAAAATCAAGACGATTTTTGGAGGAAGGGGAGGAAAAGGGCTGTAAGGAATAGAATGCTGAGAAAGAATGGACTATGAGTAGGAGAATGATAGGAGCATTTTGGACTTTTAATGTACTGAGGAGACCAGAAATAGAAAGACTGCATCAGATAGTGTGGTTAGGTTCTATTACAAAATCCCAAATTTACCTCAGGAATGACTTCATAGACACCATAGGTTGTGTATTCCTGACCAATCCAGATTTTGACATTTCCTTTAGCATATTCCTGCAGGTTTTGCCGGATATCGGTGTAGGGCTTCAGCTGAACACACATGTCTGTTGTACAAGCTGTATTCAAATATTTCTTAATGTGTTGAGGCAGTCGTGATTCATTCACAAATAACCTGGTCATTAGTGTACACATAGAGACATTAGTTATAACCTGACAGAGTTACAGTATTTATACAGTTGCTAAATATCTTATTTTATATATAACTGATAATTATGATATCTGAGCTTCAACATTTACAAAACACATGTATGTGTGGATATATATATATATCACACACATTTGATATTCTTCAATAAATGTTCACAAAGAGATAATTTCCAGCTGTTCAAAGACAGAAAAAAATACTGTTTCACAGATCAAATTAGTCATTAGCTTATTTTACTGCATTGTTGGCCCTCCTTTTGGTACAGACAATCATGACATAAGCTCATTAGGGAGAGACTGATTGAAGCTGATCTAATACTTTCTGTACTGACCGTATGATGGATGAGCAATAAGAGCCCACTTCCCCTCCCATACGCAGAGATGGTGAGCCAGATTCATTTTGAGCATAGAACTGTCAAAGTATATCTGTGATGTGGAGGTGCTGGTGTTGGACTGGGGTGGACATGGTCAGAAGTCACATGACACCAGGTTATAGTCCAATAGATTATTTGAAATCACAAGCATTTTGAGCACTGCTCCTTTGTCAGGTGAAGTTGGAACTTCGTCTGATGAAGGAGCAGTGCTCCAAAAGCTTGTGTTTTCAAATAACCTATTGGACTACATCCTGGTGTCGTGTGACTTCTGACAAAGTATATCTGCATTTGAAGCATTCGCGTGGTGGAGAGAAGCTCACAGACAGATCCAGAATGAAAGAAAATGGGAAAAATTCAGTTGTTGATTGCTTCCAATTTTAAACTGATTTTCCCCATTTCCAGAATACTAGCAGTTAAATTTTAAAAATAGACTGTGACACCATTCTATTTGGATAGTGTTTTTTTAACACAGAGAGGAGCAAAACACAGAATAACTTTATCTCTCGAGCATGGTGGCTATAGTTCATCAAACTCATTTCCAGGAGTCTGTTGCTGCCAGATTAGGAATTGATTTTGAAAGCAGCAGTTATTTTAGGCCTAGCCCTTGTGCAAGCGATCAGATGAACTGCTATCAGATGGATCACAGATGATCTATCTAGATCAGTGGATATTTCAAGGGGAATGACAAGTCAGGTGGCTCCTCTCAAAGTTTTGTCATTCTAGCGTTGCACTCAAGTAATTGATGAAGGGATGGAGTGTGGGTAGGGATTGGGCCCTACTGGATGTGATACAGTAGTTGTTACTGCAAAAATACCTTCTAATCCTGGAACCAGAGCTTTCAGGCCATAAACACCCCAGCACAATTGCACAATGCAATGTTAATCTGCCATACAGATAGCTAGAACATTCAGAGGGCAATCACAGCTCATATTATCACCATAGGCAAGTTTGAGATCGTTGTTATACTTATTTATGGGATGTGGGCGTTACTGGCTATGCCAGTATTTATTGCCCATCCATAATTGCCCTGAAGGAGATGGTGGTGATCTGACTTCTTGAACCTCTCTGTTATTTGACTATAGGTACAACAACAGTTAGAGAAAGGAGTTCCAGGACTTTGAAACAGTGAAGAAATGGTAATATAATTCCATGACAGGATGGTGTGAGGCTTGGAAGGGATTTTGTACGTGTCCCCAGGTAACTGCTGCCCTTTTAGTTCTAGGTAACAGAAGTTACTAATTTGGAAGCTGCTGTCGTAGGAGTCTTAAAGAGAGATCACAGTGCATCTTGTAGGCAGTGCATATTGCTGTAACTCTGCGTCAGTGGTGATGGGAGTGAATGTCGAAGCAGATGGATAAGCAATCAACTGGACTGCTTTGTCCTGAATGGTATTGAGTTTCTTGAATGTTCTTCGAGCTACATCAATTCAACCAAGTGGAGCATGTTCCATCAAATTCCTGAACTGTACACAGGAACTGTTGGAAAAAGGAAGTGAGTTACTAGTCATAGAATCCATAATCTCTAACCTGCTCTTATAACCACAATACCTTTGCGGCCAGTTCAGTTCAGTTTCTGGTCAATGGTAAGCAACCTACCCCAATCCCCCAGGAGCATCAAGGGGTGATGGTTAGATTTTATCTAACTGGAGACGGTCATTGCCTGTTCTGAGGAAGGGTCACCGGGCCTGAAATGTTCACTCTGATTTCTCTTTGCAGATGCTGCCTGACCTGTTGAGCTTTTCTGGAAATTTCTGTTTTTGTTATTGCCTAGCAGTTGTGAATGTCAATTGCCAGTAATCAGCCTAAGCCTTGGTTTTTCCAAGACCAGCTGCATATCAATCCCCACCTCTGATCTAAATGGTGGAGAAAAGTTCATTGATGAAGCAGTTGAAAATGGTTGGGCCTGAGACACAACTCCGAGAATCCTGCAGAGATGTCCTGGAGCTGAGATGACTGACCTCCAACAAACATAACTATCATCCTTTGAGCCAGCTATGACTCCAACCAGCAGGGAATCCCCTGATTCCCACTGACTCCAGTTTGGCCAGGGCTCCTTGCTGATCACTTGATCAAATGCGGCCTTCATGTTGAAGACAGTCATTCTTATGTCACCTTATAAATCTAATTGTTGAAAAGACCATAACATAGAAATAAATCAAAATATTAATTGATAAGTGTTGTTATGGACCAGCCTAAACCCCCTAAAAATATATTAAGAAGATAGCCTAGACCCTAACTCCTTATTTTAAAGGTAAGTGTACAGCATTGTGTTCCAGATGGAACTGAATTGGTCAAACTACTCAACTTTAAGCAAAACGCACTTTACTTTTACATGAAAGTTAAAGTATAGACAAAATAAAACTAAAAGCAAAGGATTGGCTTAGCTGTAACTCTATCAAAATGCTTAACAAAATAATGTATTAACTACTACTAATTAATTGTTCCAATATAGTACTATCCCATAAACACCCCCTTGGCAAAGGCAAATTCAATGAAATAGATTTGTCTCACATGCAACTCTAGCAGACGGAGGAGAACCCCAGATTTTAGCTGTAACAGAGAGAAGAATAAAAACTTCCACATCCAGCTTCAAGATCCCAGTTACTGCAGAAAGCTAAAACTAAAAATGCTGGTTCTGTGGGATCTTGACCATTCAGCCTGCTTCTATTGTTCCAACTTAAAAAAAATTCAAAGGCCTCACAAGCTATTTACTTTATTGTCTTTGAGCAGACCACTCAGTGTGTCTTAACTTTTCTCCATTTAAAATCCAAGATAAAATGCATCTCTTAAAGTCATAGTATTGTCACAGTATGGACAATGTTTTGTTGCTTCACACTGTATGGTAGAATGAAGAGAAAACTTATGTTTATAAAGCACCTTTCATGTCTCCAGGGTATCCCAAAGCATTTCACATACTTCTGAAACACAGTCATTGTTAATCTATCAATGTGGCATCTGAATTATGCAACCAGCAATGCGATAAATCACTAGCTAATCTATTTTTGAAAGAGGGATGAACACAATTTCAGTGTCCCAATTTGAATATAACAGCAACTTGGGTGGCGCATGGGTCTAAATAGATTTGTATTCTGCCACTATGTAGGGTTTATGTTATTTGGAGTCAACAGCCATTGATGAAGCTCCATAGTTCAACATATTCATTCTCCTGCAGCCTTCAGTGTATCATGAATTTATGTGTGTTTATGACATCATGGAACTTGCTCAATAATGGACATTGATTTACAGGATCATATACCTGTGGTTATAAACTAATCGAATACATAAACTGTGGCATTATTTTCAACTAATCTTTGTATTTGCCTTGATAGATGACACACTGATGGCCTCATGGCTTCTATATTTCTAACACCCCAAACTCACAGGGGTCTTCCACAGGGTGAAAACTCCCCAGGGAAGGCGATGGCACAGTGGTATCATTGCTGGACTGTTAATCCACAGACCCAGAGAATGTTCTGGGGACTCAGGTTTGAATCCCACCATGGCAGATGATGGAATTTGAATTCAGTAAATATCTGGAATTAACAATCTAATGATGACCGTGAATCCATTGCCGATTGTTGGGGAAAAACCCATCTGGTTCAATAATGTCTTTTGGGGAAGGGAAGTGCCATCCTTACCTAGTCTGGCCTACATGTGACTCCAGATCCACAGCAATGTGGTTGACTCTTAACTGCCCTTATGGGCAGGGATGGGCAATAAATGATGCCTAGCCAACGACACCCTCATCCCATGAACAAATAAAAGGATTGGCATGTCCTTTCCACTCAAAGTCATAAAGATGTTTCCTTCACCAATCATGACATCAGTTATTTGCTTTCTACAAGTAGGAACTGCAAAGTAGCCTATCTGCCAGATACCCACTATAACTATAGGGAAGGTTCCTGTTGTTTAAATGAGAATTCTGTTGCAACCTTCACAGCTATGGGAAGAGATGTGTCAATCATTGAGTTTGCCGGTTAGTCAGCTTGCAGCAGATGGCATAGTTTCATAAAGTCAGACTAAGGTACCAATGAGACTATTTGTAGTGCTTACGTTTGCCTATTAAGCTGACAGTGGTTATGTGATTGGGGTAAATGGATTGAATTTGCTGACTGTGATAAAGTCACTACATCTGTGTTAACTGAAAAATGCTACCTCAGGTAAAATGATCAAGATTCAATATTGTTAAAAAAACAGTTTATATTGGACTCAAAAACAATCCTTGATGAGTAATTTTCACATAGATATAACGTAATACTTATTGTTTAAACTTCTACTTTCCCCCTCCACCTAACTGCATTCCCTTTCTAAAAATATTGAGATTTGCTGAAGTACATTACCTGAAACACTGAGCAATCTCTTGGCAAAGAAACCTTAAATAAGCTTAATGATTGTTGGTGGACTATTTATCCATAGTTGGCACTACAGCAGAGCGTGATCCTAACCTCACTCAGTATTCATACACACATACTTTCCAGCAGCAAGCAGGAGCACAACTCTTAGCTGGTTTCCCGTTATCGTGCTTCAGCTAAGAATGAGATCAGTTAGCTGCTGCGATCACTGATTTATAAATCTGAGAGCTTTCCATCCTTTCGAATTTAGCTGCTCATTGAAAACTGAGTATCTGACATCTTTATTTCACTCAGAATCCTACAGGCCATTCAGCCCATTGTTGGCTTGAACTTGTATCTACGTAGTGCCTAGGACATCATAAAACATCCTGAGACAAAGCACAACAGTCTTATAATGTGACATATGGCAAAAAAAACACTCATACACAAGGCAGAATTAGAGGGTCTTGGAGGAGTAAAGAGACACAGAGAAGTTTCAGGAGGATTTTGAAGAACTTAGGGCCTCAGCAACTGGTTGTACACCCACCACAACGGTGCAATTAAAATCAGATACTTAAGACCAGAATTAGATGAGTGTAGGCAACTTGAAGCATGTGTGGTTGGAAAAGTTTACAGAAATAGGGTGAGATCAAACAGGGATTACAATTTAAAGGAAAAATGATTTTTTTTGAATAGCCTCAAGCTATGGTTGGTATAATGTAGAAAGCTAGTCAAGAGCATGTTGGAAGAGTCAATGATAGAAATAACAAAGGCATGGATGAATGTTTGAGTAGTAAATAAGCTCAGGCAGTGTGGAGTTGTGTAATGCTGTGGAATGGAAATTGATATTTTTTGTGATGGTACAGTTATGTGGTTAGAAACTCATCTTGAGATCACATATAACTCCTGGGGTGTCAATGATAGTTTAGTTTATGACTGTTCTTAAGGAGAAGATTAGAGAAAAATTGCAGGCTCAGTTCTTCCAATATTTAATAGGAGGAAATATCTACTGATCCTGTACCGAATGTTGGACAACAAGTATGATAATTTAGTGGTAGTTGAAGAGTCTTGAAAGATGGTGGTGACATTGAGCTACATGTCATAGTGTCCATGTCAAAACTAATCCTGAATTTTGGATGATGTTTCTGAGAGGCAGTATGTAGACAGGAAATAGGAGAGAACTCAAGGATAGATCTTTGGGAGATACCAGAATTCAGGTGCTGTAGCTGCTAGAGTACACATTGCAAGTTATACTGTAGCTACAACGAGACAGCTAAGAATTCATCCATGTGGATGATGATGGAGAGGTGTCATCTACGAAACCTCACAATTGTATTCCCTATAGCCAAGCCCAGGTCACATATATAGCAAAGAAAGCTATTGTTTCAATAGTGCCCCAAGGAATCCCAGTGCAACCTTCTCTGCCATCAGAGAAACAACCATTTGCCTCTACTCCTTGCCTCTTACTTCTTAGCCATTTTGTGCCCACCTTATCACATGCTTCTATTTTCTCAGCAACTCTGAAATGTGGTTCCTTATCAAATACCTTCTGAAAATCCAGATATGAAGTATCCACGGCATTTCCTTCAAAGAACTTAATCACCTTAACCAGATTTGATTTGCCTTACATACATGATAGTTGTTCCTTGATCTCTAACCTGTGCATCTACATCCAATAATTAAGTTCATCCTTGATAAACATCTCTAGCATTTTTCCAATTTTAAATGATTAGTAATCCAAAAAAAGACATGCTTTGATTAGGGTGTAGGTGAATTTTCCTAGATAATTTCAGATTCTTGATATGTTTAGTTCAATTTAAACTTCATTGTCCTCGGGAATAAACAAACCTGATGAAATTTTCAGTCAACAGCGTGTAAGACTTGAAAAATGGATTGTATGGAATATCGTCCCCTCGCAGGTTGAACAGCCCTAGATAAAAATATTCAGACAAGTTTATTTTAATAAATATGATTTGCACAATTGTTAAAACTGTATTGAAAACAAAATTGGTATATATCGATTTCTGTCAAGAACGCTCCCATGAAAAGATATCACTCCTTCACTGCCCTGCTTATTTATGACCATAAACAATATATCATGCAAGCCACTTCCTGGCATCCTTATGACAGTCGTCATGTCTTCACTCTGACGCAGTCCACCATATGACCTGCGTTTGAGCAACTATGGCAAATGAGTGGCTGGCTTCCAAATGATAATTCCTGAATACTGCCTACACACGTAGGCAGTAGCATTCATTAAAGCCACAAGGAATGTCATGGAATGGACTTTCGTGGTACTTAATTGGCAAAGTCATTGCACAGGCTGCTCTGGAGGAATCCTGAGTGTGTTGAGATTTGTAGTTCTCTGCTGCACAACCTTACTATTACGAATGCACAGCTCTTTCTGTCAGGTATACAGCAAGATACTGGTGGGTAGAAGGGCTGCGGGGAAGTGCGGTGGCAATCAACCGAGCTCTTCTCTGGTTGGACCATCGACAATCACCTTTTCTGACGTCAGTGATAATAAATGTAACCTGTGTTTCTTGTCATCCATTTGGTCAAAATGCAAAAAATGGAAGTCATTACAAAATGGACATTTTCCAAACCCTACTTAAACATTAATGTCATATTGCATGCAAACTTCAACTCATCATCCTTGTGCATTTGGGTGCTGCCCATTTTCTCAACACCTTTACATGTCTTAGTGCTCCAACATGGTGCCATACACTGGCCATAGCATGACTGGTGGAAAGCTGTGAATTTCAAGGGGAAGACAGAAAGTAGTCTTGCAGGATGCTTTCCAGCTGTTTTAATCCTAGAATGGTCCACCTTGGATTCCACCACATTGGCACGGGTAGCAGCAGTCTGGCTGGTCGGCCAAAGGTGTGAGCACAAAATGCTGAGTGAGGACCGCCATTGCCTACTCACAATGTCACTGCCTCACTCCAGGGCTGTTACTCAGAAACTCTAGTAATCTGTTGAAGGACAGATTGCTGGACAGCCTGTAAACCTCTTCAATTACTGATATATGTAGCCATGATGGCATTAGTTGGAACTTGACTAACAGCAAGATAACCACTTATGCTTTCAGTGTGAGCTTCCATTGCGGATGCTAAGCTACCCTTCAAAATTAATGCAATACCGGTATCTAAACTGAGAGTATGAGTGTGAATGATAGTGCTTTTATTCATCACTGTTTTCCAGTCCTTTCACTGTGGATCAGCTGGCAGATCTGGAATGTTTGAAAGAAGAAAGGCACAAAGGTAGAGTTCTAGTGAAAGGAATAGGGGCAAAGTAAGGAATGGATGCTTATATTATCTGCAGCTTATAAATTGGAAGAAATTACGACAAGTGGAATGTGGGAAAGAGGAGATTGAACCATGACGTCATTTTAAATGCTTGCAGCAATGCTACAGGATCTTGCCTCACCTTGGCTGTTCTTATGATGCCCAGAAATATCTCCAGTGCATTGAGTACATTTCCCTACCAGTGGGTACTGTTGGCACTGGTTATATGTCATCTTTGCCCTGTGACCCTTCTGGACCAAACATGATGCAATGCTTTCCAGCAGCTTTCAGCTGCTTCTTGATAGTTGATTCAAACAAACTGGGTGTAGACTAGATTCTGTGGTGTTAGGGACCTCAGGAGGAGGCTGAGCTGAATCATCCACTTGGCACTTCTCCAGCTGTTTTTTTTCCCCTACCCCATGTCCCATAGCACAAAGGTGAATGCAAATTGACTGGGTTCGTGACTGGTACCTTACAGTCACAATCAAGGCCTTCTGAATTTGAGCCACAACCCCCCTCCAACATCATTAACTAAAATTAACTCCTCAACTGCTTCCAGAAACTCAATCAGAGCCAAATGAGGTTAACTAGCAACTAGCTTTCGAGCGGTTGATTTTATTTTATAAATAGCGCTGATACTGGGATTCCTTCCTATAGTTTAGCAGTACATGTTTAAGACGTGATGTTACCCAATCATTGAGTTCAAATCAGTGTTAAATATTGATGAACTTCATATTCTGAATGTTTGTGGTGCATTTTCTTAATTCCTGTGCTCGCACTCTCATCAAGCAGGCTGACCCAGCTACGTACACTGGAAAGGTACCTGTAGTTCTGAAACTCCATGTGCTACAGTCCAATCTCATAGGACACAAACAATCCTCAAACAAACTCCATTATTCCTACTTGTCAAGAAAATCGTAATTTAAAATAAATATTGAATTCCATGTTTTTCATGTTCTTTTTTATCTTAATGATTTACTAACTAAAACAGAGAGAAAAAATGATTCTTAAAAAGGAATAGCTCTTACATGCAGTTTCATCCAGTGCAGAGATCAACAATGCAGTTGGCCGGTAAGGGTTTTCTTTCATCTGTGCACGGATTTCTTTTACCTTCATTTGCCATGTTCTTTCTGTAATCCAATATATAGATTAAAGACTACTTTCCTTTGACAGAGTAAAATTATTGAAGCTCCTTTTAAGATGAATTTGTAAATGGAAAAGGACAGTTGTTCTTCACAGAATCACAAATTATGACAGCGCATTACAAACATTATGGGTGGCACAGTGGCTCACTGGTTAGCAGTGCTGCCTCATAGCACCATGGGCCTGGGTTCAATTCCCCCTCAGTCAACTGTCTGTGTGGAGTTTGCACATTCTCCCTATGTCTGCATGGGTTTCCTCTGGGTGCTCCAGTTTCCTCCCATAGTCCAAAGAAGTGCAGGCTAGGTGGATTGGCCATGCTAAGTTGCCCATAGTGTTCAGGGATGTGCAGATTAGGTGGGTTATAGGGGGATGGGTCTGGGTGAGATGCTCTGAGGGTCAGTGTGGACGTGTTGGGCTGAAGGTCCTGTCTCCACACTGTTGGGATTCTACGTGAAGAAGGATTCTTCTCAATTTTTTTTTAAATGACAAGATCACAAAGTAAAAACTTATGAGGGAGGCCATTTTGTCATCGGAGCATAGCAGATGGGTGTAAAAAATTGTAAGCCATTTTTTCTAAAAGTTGTTACACGTGTTGATTTCCTTTCTTATGAAGATATTTTCCTGACACAAACCCAATTTGATTGCCCCTGTTTTATTTTCTGCTCTTATTATATCCTCCTGGTTTATTATCAGTACTACTACAGATTTATCCAATTAAGGGAAGGCATTTTGGTTGTGGAATACTATCAAAGACTTCCAAATTAGTCATAGTGTAAAGCTTCCTATGGTTACTTCTTTGCTATGACATTTAGTGAGGACAATTAGGTATTCCAGCAACATAGAGTTATAGTTATAGAGATGTACAGCACGGTATCAAACCCTTCGGTTCAACTCGTCCATGCAGACCGGACATCCTAAATTAATGTGGTCCCATTTGCCAGCTCTTTTTAAATTCATTTCTTGCACACAGGTGTTGCTGGCTGGATAGCATTTATTGCCCATCCCGAGTTGCCCTTGAAAAGGGGGTGGTGAGCTGCCTTCTTGAACTGCTGCAGCCCACCTGCTGTAGGTTGACCCACAATGCCATTAGGGAGGGAATTTCTGGGTTTTGATCCAGCGACAGTGAAGGAATGGTGATATATTTCCAAGTCAGGATAGTGCGTGTCTTGGAGGGGTACTTAAAGGTGGTAGTGTTCCCAGATATCTGCTGCCTTTGTCCTTCTAGATGGAAGCGGTCATGCATTTGGAAAGTGCTGCCTGAGGATCTTCAGTGAATTTCTGCAGTGCATCTTGTAGATAGTACACATTGCTGCTACTGAGCGTCGGTGGTGGAGAGAGTGGATGCTTGTGGATGTAGTCCCAATCAAGCGGGCTGCTTTGTCCTGGATGGTGTCAAGCTTCTTCAGTGTTGTTGGGGCTGCACTCATCCAGGCAAGTGGGGAATATTCCATCACACTCCTGACTTGTGCCTTGTAGATGGTGAACAGGATTTGAGGAGTCAGGAGGTGAATTACTCATTGCAGTATTCCTAATGTCTGACCTGGTCTTGTAGCCACTGTGTTTATGTGGTCCTATATCTCTCTAACCCTTCCTATTCATATACTCATCCAAATAGGTTTTAAATGTTGTATTTGTACCTGCCTCCACCACTTCCTCTGGCAGTTCATTCCATACATGCACCACCCTCTGCGTGAAAAAATTGCCCCTCAGGTCCCTTTTAAATTTTTCCCCTCTCACTTTATACCTATGCCCCCTAGTTCTGGATTCCGCTACCTTCAGGAAAGATCGTTGATTATTCACCCTATCCATGCCCCTCTTGATTTTATAATTCTCTATAAGGTCACACCTCAGCCTCCGATGCCCCAGGGAAAACAGCCCCAGCCTATTCAGTCTCTCCCTATAGCTCAAACTCTCCAACCCAAGCAACGTCCTTATAAATCTTTTCTGAACCCTTTCAAGTTTCGCAATACCCTTCCTATAGCAGGGACACCAGAATTGCAGACAGTATTCCAAAAGTGGCCTAACCAATGTCCTGTACAGCTGCAACATGACCTCCCAACTCCTATGCTCAATGCACGGACTAATAAAGGCAAGCATACCAAATGCCTTCTTCACTATCCTGTGTGCCTGCGACTCCACTTTCAAGGAACTAAGAACCTGCACTCCAAGGTCTCTTTGTTTGGCAATACTCTCCAGGACCTTACCATTATGTGTATAAGGCCTGTCCTGATTTGCCCCACCAAAGTGTAGCACCTCACATTTATCTAGGTTAAATTCCATCAGCCGCTCCTCGGCCTATCAGCCCATCTGATCAAGGTCCTGTTGTACTTTGAGGAATGTTCTTCGCTGTCCTCTGCACCACCAATTTTGGTGTCACCTGCAAATTTACTAATCTCCTAGTTCACATACAAATCATTTATGTGAATGACAAAAAGCAGTGGACCCAGTGCCGATCCTTGCGGCACACTGCTGATCACAGGCTTCCAGTCCGAAAAGCAGTCTCCACTACCACCCTCTGTCTCCTACCTTCGAGCCAATCTTGTATCCAAATGGCTAGTTCTGCCTGTATTCCATGTGTCCTAATTTATTAACCAATCTACCATGTGAAACCTTGTCAAACACCTTACTGAAGTCCATATAGATAATATCTACTGATATGCCTTCACCAATCCTCTTCGTCACTTCAAAAAACTTGATCAAGTAAATAAATTGGAAGAAAAAGCAGTGCTCATGATTATTCTATACAATGAGTTAAGCAGTGCTTTTTATTCATTACCTTATATGTACTTCCAAAAGGTTTTCTCAGAGTTGCTTTGCTAAGCCTAAATTTTGAAAGTGAACTAAAAAGTAAAACTGCTCATTACAAGGAAATTAAAAGTTGAATTTCAGAGGTTCCAGTCATTTTAAATTTTACCCCCAGCTTTTTGTACTGGAGTCAATGCAGGATGCTCTAGGTTATAACATCCATTTACACAATCATTTCCTTTATACTTAAGAGAAATAATTTACCGAAGAACTGATCTGGCACTTTGAAAATATCATCGGTAGGGTTCGGTGGGCGGTCTGCCCCCCAGATAATATCCACTAAATTCTTTTCTTCAGCAACAAATTGTCGTTTGCCTTGAAGCAATGGCTTTTTGTAACTTTCCCACTCCACTGTTTAAACACAAAAGCACAGCAGAAATTAGAATGTAATTACCCTTTGATGCAGTATTTATGCAGAATAGTCAATATTTTTATGGTGGAAAACTAAATGCTTGACAGCATCTCATCATGTCAAAGCTCTTTATGCTTTGGGTTACTGTCACAGCACAGTGACTGTCTTTACATATGCAAACATCGCAGCCATTCTGTGTCAGCAGAATTCCACCAGAAAACAGAATTGGAAATTAACTTTTTTTGTGGTATTCGTTAAGGCAAGAACATTGACCAAGACACTAAGAATACTTACTGTTATTCTTCGGAGAAACACATGAAATATTTAATGGCCATCTGAGCCAACAGTTGAAAACAAATTGTAAAAATTAATTTGAATTTCAACATTATTCACTTCAACAAAAATCCTCATCCTAATTGTCATGTTTTTAGACAATAATAATTAAAGACCTGCAACATATATTCGCACATTCAAAATTGGTGTTATCCCTTAAAATTTACATAGCATATTCCAGCAGGATTATTGGGTAGCAAATATAATGGGGATTTTGAATGTTTTTACCCCATTGATTATGAATAAACAAGTTGGAAATTCCCTAATTCACTCTTCTGGCTTTGGTTAGCTGTGGGTAATCATCTCTTTCTCTCTCATGTTCAGTTTCTTGCTGTGCCAGTTTCTCATTTGCCTGTTATCACGCAATTACAATATATTCTGAATGTCCTACTTTTGTTCCAGAAATTTCTGCTTGAATGTGGAGAGCAGAGAGGGAATCTTCCCTGACAGTAATGCCCTCCTCTCCTCCATCATGTTTATTGATCACAAATCTACCGTTCTAACGGACACCCCAACATTTTAATAATTCCAACCGAAAGAACTGCGGATGCTGTAAATCAGGAACAAAAACAAAGTTGCTGGAAAAGCTCAGCAGGTCTGGCAACATCTGTGTAGAAAAACTCACAGTTAACGTTTCGTGTCCAGTGGACGCCAGACCTGAAACGTTAACTTTGACTTTTTCTTCATAGATGCTGCCAGAGCTGCTGAGCTTTTCCAGCGACTTCTGTTTTTGTTCCTGATTTACAGCATCTGCAGCTCTTTGGGGTTTTATTTTAATAATTCCTGCCAGCAAACCCCAAAATGCCCCATCTGCCACTCACCTGTCCATCTCCAATGCTACACTCACTCCCGTATGGAAATTTCCCTTCCTCTTAGATGACACCCTTTACTTATATTGCTTTCTGTTCCCCTTCACCATTTTTATCCATCTGTTACCTTCTTTCTGCAGGTCTGACAGCATCTTTGGAGAGATAAAGACTGTTAACATTATGGTCGGATAGGACTTTTCAATTCTGACAAATAGTCATACTCAATTTGAAATGTTAGCTTTGTTTCTCTCTCCAAAGATGCTTCCAGATCTGCTGAGCATTTCCAGCACTTTATTTCAGATTTCTAGCATCTGCAGCAATTTTACTTTTGTGTTATCTTCGCTCTGCTGGCTCATCAACCCCCTTACTCCTCTTTCACTCCTACAGCAGTAACGCTTATTGAACTACATGGTACTTGTACACATGATCTAATTAATTAGAGGCAGTTTATGAATTATAACTATTTTTTATGTAATATATATAAAGAGAGCAAATAGCACAGGAGAATGACCATTTCCAGATAGATTTTCAGCAAGGCGCATTCATTGCAATCATAAAGTTCCAAGCACTTCTAATAAATTACGACTGGCCGAGATATTCTCATAGCTACAGAGAGGAATTGGAGTTGCGCAAATTGGAGTTGCGCGTTAGGGACCATTCAGATTCCTCGATGTTGGGAATTATCTGAGAAATTGAATTTTCTGATGGCAGTTCTCCTCTGTCTGGAACCTTTTGAAAGAATCAATTAGAGTCGGAGAATTCAGAGGATTTTGACTCAGTTAAGTTTCATAGTTAGAAAATTAAACTCTGTTCTGAATTCTGAGTAATATTAAACCGAACTCGCTCCCACCTTCCCCGTTCCGCCCAACCAAACGAGACTACTTCTGACGCGTTACACTCACACGGTCCCTCACAACTACGCTGCTGAGCTAATCCAAATTCAGAACCACCATAACTCCCCTTCCGCCGACCCAACACCCACCTCCCTGCTTCTCCTGGACCCCAAAATCCCAGCTGACCTGAAGATAAGTGAGTAATTTTAAATTTAATCGGGATTTCGACTCTTTCTGAACCATGAAATTTCCAGACTCAAATAGATAGGTATGTACCAGAGATGGAGTACCGGAATAATGTTGCTGCTGGCAAATCTGGGAAGATTTTTCATGCACCAATAGTGCCACATGCTGGAATTTTACTGCAAGCATTTATAAAAAGCTCAGATTGAATTAATTTTAAACTTATTAAGGATGATAGGAAGCTTACAACAGCAGCGAAAATGTGACACTTATTTGTGTTCCCTGCCATTGGATAAAACAAGCAGGCAGGGAAATATATTCACCACCAAACAAAATATATTCAGTACCAAATCTTGGGCTCTAAGAACTGGATGATTGCAGAAGGAAGGGAACAGTGAAGGTGAGTTTGAAAATGTTAAGGAATTGCTCTGGCTGGAGGTCTTTGGATAAAACTGAATTAGAATTTGAGATTGCACTAAATTTTGACTTGATTGTGGAGCTGGTTCTCAGAGTAAACAGACCAGAAAAAATCTTATAAATACCGTTTTCTTACCGATGGAAAAGACGAAAGGGTCAGCCGCGACTATATCTCCTTCCCTTGTTTCATTCAAAATCCAGTCTACAATTGTTGCTAAGAGAAACAATACATGTTTAGAAAAATAAATGCAGGCAAATAATATTGGATCATTAAGTGTCTCACTGCTGCTATGACTCACTTTCCCCTTTGTTGAGCTCCCAGTTGCAATCCATTTGACGTTCAGCTTGAATCCAGTAACGTCCATCGGTCCAGAGTGTAGCCTTCATCTTACTGACTACTGCGGTACCTATGGAACAATTTGGCCACATCTTACCAGGGACACTATTTATTTCTGTTTGAATTGCACCTAAAAGTGAAAAGTAGCTTTTTCCCAAATTGATAGTGAAGGATTTTCAATTATTTTGTTAGATTACTTCATGGAACAGCAAAATTTTGCAAACGAGCAAAATAACAAAAGGAAAGCACGCAGAATTGTTAGACTTGATCAAAATTGGAAGGTATGCTGACAAACCTGACCAAGAGAGTGCATCTTATTGTAATTTTAAATGTTTGAGAAAATGTGATTCAAGATTTTCCATACTTTGAGAAACGTAATGAACTTTCATTTATGTAGTTCATTCAATACCTCCAGAGTTGAAGCCAAAGATCAACCATGATTGTATTGTATGATGGAGCACGCTTGTTAGGCCATATGGTCTACTCCTGCAGGGCATCACCAAATATTTAACAGCCTATGATGCATTCCTGAATGGTAGTAATTGTAATAATGTAGGAAGCATAGCTGTCAATTTGTATAGAGAAGGCCACACAAACCAGAAGAAAGGAACATGAGAAATAGAGATAGGAATAGTCTATATTTGAGTTTGCTTGGCTATTCAGCAAGAACGCAGCTGATCAGTAAGCAAGTAGGAAAGCAAGTGGTATGTTGGCCTTTGTTGCAAGAGGAAGTGAGTATCGGAGCAGGAAATATTATTACAGCTCTACAGAGCTTTGGTAAAGCCACATCTGGTGAATTGTAATCAGTTATAGTCTCTGTACCTAAGAAAGGATATACATGCCATTGAGGGAATGCGAGAAACATCGACCAGATTGATATCTGGAATGGCAGGCTTGTCATATGTGCAGAGGTTGGCTTGATTGGGCCTGTATTGACCAGAATTTAGAAGAATAAGAGTGGACTTTTATTGAAACATTTAAAATTCTGATCAAATTCTAATCATTTGTAGACAACTGATCTATGCTGGCTGTTGATTGCCTTAGTGTGTATTACAACCAAGAGAAGAAGACATTACAAGAAAGCAGCCATCATTCAGACATAAGAGATAACAAGGTGTAGAGCTGGAGGAACACAGCAGGCCAAGCAGCATCAGAGGAGCAGAAAAGCTGACGTTTCGGGTCTGGACCCTTCTGCAGAAACATTCACTAGGCTAGCTGTGCCAGTCAATCTGATATCCCAGCACCTTTGGGAATAGAGTACTGTGTATGCATTAATTTACCTACTCAAGTGAAATATGCTCATCCATGCTTGCAGCAGGTAGGTACTGGGAACTGAACACTCCCTCTGCAGCCTGAACTGCCTGCTATCACTTTTTCTTGTTTTTTTCCAAACAGCTCAGACAAGAAGATTCCCAATGGAAATCCATTGATACAATTAGGATTAAAAAAAATTGGTAACTCATATACCAGAGAGATGAACTATAGTCTAATATTGCATTCAAAACATCTACCCTTATATTACTTTAGTCTTTAAATGATCTTCCATCTATTCTCCAGTTCTGTGAAAAGCTGGATATTGAATTGCCGGGAATATAATTAAGATTGAGCATCCCTGAGGCAGGGACATCAGGAAATTGTGTGCAAAAAGTCTCAGTATCTAACTAAGATTTCTTAACATTTCAGCCAGGAGGTTTGTGGGCCTCCTCCAAGGACCATATGAACAAGCACCTCTGTCCCTCTTTTCAGTGTGTTATACCTTGTGAGTAGGTGAACAAGACAAGTAGAAAATTATACACGTGCAGTCTTGTAATCTCATTCCATTGGGCCATAATTCTTAATTCAAATATTTGTCTGATGTAGATTGCTAAGAAGAAACCAGTTTCAACCGGCTCTGATCCCAAGTGTTTTGTGCCCTTTCAACTCCAGCAATAACATTCAGCATCATTACGATATGCTGGATAATGAAAAGTCCACAGCTGAGGAAGGGATGTTGAAAGGGTTTATTTGCTTCCATTTTAATAGTCTGGTCTAATTGTCAAAAGAAATATACCACTTCAGTGTGCAGAGAATGAAAATGAAGTTCAGTATACTATTAAAGAGAGGAGCAGTTTGTCCTGGCTATCAAAAGTAGTAAAAAAGAAACAAGCAGAACAAGAATCTATGTACTTTTTACTCTATCTACTTTTTACTGCAACAGAGCCAGAATATTCCTCCAGAGATGGGTAAATTAATTCAAAGAGATTGAAATAAATGAACCTCTTTTAGACAGATGTAAGACCCATGCAGTTTTGGTTTATACACAACTCTATCACGTTATAATAGCAGTCTAAGCTGGCTTTTATTGGTTTTTGAAAGAAAGCTGTGTTGTTTTTGTGCTTCAGCAGTGTATGTGGGTACAGAGGGGTATATTGCGAATGAAATATTACTTGTTTGGTTTGGGATTCCCATAACCTATGAATTGTAACTGATCAGATTGTGTCTGTTTTGAAAGAGCAAATTTTAGGCCTTGACTAATTATAATGGAATAATGTTGAACAGAGTTATCTTTCAACAACTTGTTGCTGAAACTGGGATAGCCTGCCACTAAATTTCTATGTTTCTGTGTTTTTCTGGTAGAATACTTTGCTTGATCCTGTGAGTTTCTTCTCATCCAATGCAAGCTTGTCTGCAAAGGATGATTTTTGCATTGGATATGACTAAAGAAACCCAAATTGTAGCATTGTTGACAACTTGAGTGTTGAAACCGCACTGATAGTTATAATCATTTACTATTATTGAATTGTAAACAATTCTGTATCCTAAGTCATGGTCATGAGGCCAAGCTGCCTCCCTAAGATAACAAAGTGTAGAGCTGGATGAACACAGCAGGACAAGCAACATCATAGGAGCAGGAAGGCTGACGTTTCGGGCCTAGACCTTTCATTCAGAAATGGGGGAGGAGAAGGGGGTTCTGAAATAAATAGGGAGAGAGGGGGAGGCGGATAGAAGATGGATAGAGGAGAAGATAGGTGGAGAGGAAACAGACAGGTCAAAGAGGCGGGGATGGAGCCAGTAAAGGTGAGTGTAGGTGGGGAGGTAGGGAGGAGATAGGTCAGTCCAGGGAGGACGGACAGGTCAAGGGGGCGGGATGAGGTTAGTAGGTAGGAAATGGGGGTGCGGCTTGAGGTGGGAGGAGGGGATAGCTGGGAGGAAGAACATGTTAGGGAGGTGGGGACGAGCTGGGCTGGTTTTGGGATGCGGTAGGGGGAGGGGAGATTTTGAAGCTTGTGAAATCCACATTGATACCATTGGGCTGCAGAGTTCCCAAGCGGAATATGAGTTGCTGTTCCTGCAACCTTCGGGTGGCATCGTTGTGGCACTGCAGGAGGCCCAGGATGGACATGTCGTCTGAGGAATGGGAGGGGGAGTTGAAATGGTTCGCGACTGGGAGGTGCAGTTGTTTGTTGCGAACCGAGCATAGGTGTTCTGCAAAGCGGTCCCCAAGCCTCCGCTTGGTTTCCCCGATGTAGAGGAGGCCACAACGGGTACAGCGGATGCAGTATACCACATTAGCAGATGTGCAGGTGAACATCTGCTTGATGTGGAAAGTCTTCTTGGGGCCTGGGACGGGGGTGAGGGAGGAGGTATGGGGGCAGGTGTAGCACTTCCTGCGGTTGCAGGGAAAAGTGCCAGGTGTGGTGGGGCTGGAGGGGAGCGTGGAGCGGACAAGGGAGTCACGGAGAGAGTGGGTGGTGGGGTTGGATTGCAGATGGTGGAAGTGTCGGAGGATGATGCGTTGGATCCGGAGGTTGGTGGGGTGGTATGTGAGGACGAGGGTGATTCTTTTTTGGTTGTTATTGTGGGGACGGGGAGCCTCCCTATGATGTTATATTGTATTGCACTTGGTGTTATTTGTGACAGATGGAAAACATTCATCTAAATTTTGATCAGCACCTACCTAAGGAAAAACATTAAAGTTATACCCTTCTCCAGTGATTTGAGCATGCAGACTCATTTTTCTTTCTTGTCTGTGTTACCTGCTGTTCCGCTAAACCCTGTAATCCAGGCCCTTCTCGCATCCTGTGGGGCGATGTACTCACTCTGAAAAACATCACAGAATAATCTTAAATTCCACTCACAATGAATTTTCTGGATGATTCTTTCCAATCAGCAGCATTATAGTGGAATAAAACAAAGAACTGCAGATACTGGATATATGAAACAAAACAGAAATTGCTGGAGAAACTCAGGTCTATTAGCATCGGTGGAGAGAAAAGGGAGAGTCAATGTTTACATGGTGCAGTTCAAAGAAGCTGCAAGCAATTTCTGCATTACAGCAGAGACTGGTGTATATCTGGTTTCCACTGAGGTTATAATCAGGAAGAAAGCCTGCATGATAAACAATGCGACGACTGAGTTTTGGCTCTGTGCTGCACTTTCTCTGAAGACTAACATCCGTTCGAAAAGGGCAAGTTTTTAGTTTGTAACTAATTACAAAGGAATGATATTGAACAACATCATGTTTTTATAACGTGATGCTGAAACTGGGGTAGCCCGTCATTAAATTTCTATGTTTCCCCAGTGGAATACTATCCTCGATCCCATGTGTTTCAAGCATGAGATCGTTAAGTTCTTAGTCAATGCAGGCTACAGATGATTACTTTTGTAATGCCTATGACTGAAGAAATGCAAATTGTAACACTGCACATACATTTTGAGTGTTGAAACCATTCTGACACATTGCTGCAGGTCGCTAATAATTCAATTCACTTGTACCAGGCCTACATCAGCTCTTAGCTGCAATGCAATGTCACCGATCTCTGTCTTTAATAACACACCTGCACAAAATATCATTAGCAGAATTCTAGTATCAGAGCAGAACCATTGTTAGAAAGAATTAGAAAAGCATTGCAGTTGTTAGTTACAATGAAAAATAAACCTGTAAACTTTTTGTATTATGTCACTCAGAAGATATATGATAAACTTTTAAGGGACACTCTGATGATATCATCATTGTATTATGGTATGTCAAACAATGGTGTAAAGAGCTCAGCCTTTTCCATCTTACTGAGCTCTCTTGCAGAATGACACACTGAAAGAAGGGTGCTACAGTACAATCCATTGCTTAGCTTAAGCCCAGAGATGCGAGTGCCTGTGATTGTAGAGTACATATGTGGATGCCAGGTGCTGTAATAAAGATTCATTGAATTTTTCAGTTGTGTTTGACCCAGATCTCAAACTTATGTTGTGAGAGCCAGCAGAAATATCATATCACGATACTTCATGAGACATCTTGCCACATGACATCATGGGTGTAATGCAGCAGTAACTGCTCATACAAGAATCTTCACAGAATACAGCCCTAGATCATAAAGCATTTGGACATCATAAGTATATACGAGTACAGATCTTCAACTTAACACAGCCAGGAGGCAGACTTTACCTTCCTTCTGGTTAAAGTTCGAGATCCAAGAAGATCATAAGACATAGCAAAAGCAGACCTTTCAGTCCATTGAGTCTGCTCCATCATTCAATGAGATCATTGTGGATCTGAATTTTCAACTCTACTTCCCTGCCTTTTCCCTATAACTTTTGATTCCCTGACAAATTTTAAAAGATGTCTATCTCAGCTTTGAGTATATCAATGATCCAGCCTCAGTAGTCCTTTGTGGTAAAGAATTCCACATATTCACTACGAGAGAAAAAAATTCCTCCTCATCTCAGTCTTAAACGGGTGACCCCTTTATCTGAGATTGTGCCTTCTGGTCCTACTCTCTTCAAGGAGAAATAACCTTTCCATATCTACCCCATCAAGTCCTCCAAGAATCTGTGTGTGGTAATAAGTATGTCTCTCAATCTTCTATATTCCAATAAGCACGGGCCCAATCTACTCAATCTTCTATATGCCAGAAAGTAAAGACCCGATGTACTGAATCTCTCTTTTCTAAGCCTGTCTATCCACACCTGATATCAGCCTAGTGAATCTTGTCTGGTCTGCCTCCAAAGCCAATATATTTTTCCTGGGATAAGCAGCCAAAAATTGTTCACGGTATTCCAGCTGTGGTCTGATCAGTGCCTTTCATAGTTTAAGCAAAACATCTCTGGTTTTATACTCCATTCCCTTTGAAATAAAGGGCAATATTCCATTTGCGTTCCCTTTTAGCCACCTGAACTTGGATGCTAGCTTTTTATGATTCATTGATGATGACTCCCAAATCCCTTTGTTCTGTAGCTTTCTGCGGTCTTTCCACAATTAAATATATTCAGCTCCTCTATTCTTCCTGCCAAAGTGCATAACCTCATATGTTCCGCATTATATTCCATCTAACAAGGCTTTGCTCACCCATTTAATCAGCTCCTTTTAGATACTTTGTATCATCCTCACACTTGGCCGTAGTACATTCACTTCCCTCAAGATAGATATTTCTACATTTTTTTTATGGAAGAAAAATAAAGTTTCAACCTAATTCTCAATACAGAATTTAATGTGCAGTAGTCTTCTGGGTTTAAAAGCAAAAATCAGCAGCTAAAGGCTTCTGACAGGATCAAATCTAAAATTGGCAGTCAAAGGATATTGTTGGTTTAACTATAGAGACTCCATGTTTGGGAAAATGGTATTTTAAGCAAAATTGTATTTTAAGCACTAAAAATTGATGTTATAACCTAGAGAATCTTATCTCATGGAGCGGTCAGGTGGAACCGCCATTCTGACTCTTCAAATTCAGTACCAAAGGTAATGTGATATCATCACTCCTCATTTGGTGTGAAATTGCTTTAGTGGCTGTAACCTGCTACAATAGACCTCTGTCTCTTAAAGGCACAGACTCAGACTCAGACTCAGCAAACCATCTTAAAAATGACACAACCAACAAAAATAAATTAAAATAGAAGCAAAAGAAGGAACAACAAGCATAAAAAAAACAAAACAAATAAAAGAAAGGAAAAAAAAAACAGGTCCCAGTCTCTACTTCAATAAAACACAAACCTAACCCTTTCAACACAAAGTAAAAGACATGTATTTGATTATGAGTTGGGCAAAGAGTGTATCTATTGAATTTCAGCTATTTAATCAATATGCTTGGCTTGACTTCACAGATCAAACTTTAAATGATCTGAAGAGGAGATCTCTGAAAAGATTGCTGACTATCAGCAAGGAAAGGCTTCACATAATAAGTATATCTGGTCTTTCTGAGGGTGATTAAAAAGACCCAGAGAAGATCTGGAGAATACTTAAGTACCAGCTTCTGGGTGAACAGACTCCAATTCGTGTCAAATAGGCAGAAACCGAGGAGTCCATTGATGACTTTGTCATTGGATACTGAGTGTTTAATGGCTGTGGAGCAGTCAGTATCAGCAGCAATGTGTTCACCATCTTCAGGGGCTGGGAAGGGAAATTTCATCATCTCAAAGATCCTGGCCATGGAGAGATAAACCTCAATGTGAGATGGAAAGTTTCCAGCCGCGTTAACCAAATACCTCACGGAAACAAAGCTACTCATGAATTGGTCAAATTTTTTGGTATCATTTGCTCATGTACAACAAAACAGCTTAAAATTTCTGCAGAGGAAATTTGTTATGCAATTTGTTGCTTGAAAATGCAGTTTTCTATTAAAACATTTGGAGGCAGTGAACCAACAGCTTTGAGCAGATCCAAGAAATCATTGCCAGTAGCATTCAGTCAACATTAAGTACAGACAAATAAATCTTGCCTAATATTTTCTTTCTTATTCATGACATGAATAAATACTATTTACTGAAGATATAAAAGTAATGTGATTTTAGTCCAACAGATTTTATGTTCAGTGGACATCACTTTTTTGCTGGTGGCTGGTTTATGGCAGCAATGTTACAGTGTGGTGTTGAGGAAATTCTTTCTCATATTGATGTGGCACTGCCTGATTGAGATCTGCTGCTTTCTGCATATGCAAATCAGCAGCCTGTGATATTCCTGCCATTCATTTTAACAGATGGGTATATCTAGGCTGGTGATTAAAACAAACAGGAACCTCGAGAAGAGATAGCAAGAACTGCCAATGCTGGAGTCAGAGAGGAACACAGCAGGCCAGGCAGCATCAGAGTAGCAGGAAAGTTGACATTTTGGGTCGGGACCCTTCTTCAGAACTTTCTTGCTCCTGTGATGCTGCCTGGCCTGCTGTGTTCCTCCAGCTCCACACGGTGTTATCTAAGAAACTCGAAAAGTTGTCAGGGAGGAGGAAATAGATGATCAACAGCAGAATCCTTCATAAAAAAAAGATAGCTTCTTGCATTATTTTTGGTGCTGTTTGCTAAAGCTGAATGCTACACTTTATTTAGTTGTGATGGGTGAGGTCTTCCAGAGGAAGTGTTGTTCTCACCCACAATTTTCCTCTTGTTTGTTGTGTCATCTCTTAAAAAAAAGTCATATGCTTCCTTAATGGCTGCCTCTGCCTCCCAAATGGTGCCCGCTCTGCATCAGTATGCTCGAGAAGTGAGATTCACTAGGTTAGGAGCTGAGAACAAAGCATGGCTTCATGTTGGGTCCGCATGATCACTGGGTTGTGATCAGGAGCTGGATGTAGTGCAATCCATGGTGGCTGAAACATTGGCGGCTGTGCTGTTAATTGTGGGAAATTCTACATTACAGTCTCCCCAAAGACAGAACAACCGTCTGCAATTTAGATGGATAGGGAAACACACTCCCTGACAGCAGGCTATCAATGAGACAATTGACTCCCATTTACTCTAAATACTCCAAAATTTAATGGTGGTGCAGGTACTATATGTAATGGAAAATCCATGCCTCCTAAAAGACACCAGGCCAAACCTCAGCGGGTTTGGGCCTGCAGCCTCTTAAAGGGGGAGCTCTCTTTCCAAGACACAGGGATGCAGCATTGTACATAGGGGGTGGTCACACAACCTTGTCCTTGCTTCCAACACTCTTGCCATCTCGTCCAGAAAGCAATGCCAGTCCCCCAGTGTCCATTTCACCATTGCTCACTCTCTGTCTGGTTTTGCATTCTTATTT